CGTGTTCCTTGGCATTGCATCTTGCCATTGTGTTGGATCCATCTGTTCTGCGTACATCAATGGATTGTTGTTGTTTTCACTATGATTCCTGAGTAACTCACTGTGTCAAAGGATATGGGTGTATCTTTGGTTTTGAGATTTATGTAATTTTCTCTGAAAAGTGATTATTATTTCCCCTCAAACAATAATGGAAGCAGCAAAGGTTCTTTCTCTCTCCAGAACCGCCCCTTTTTGTTTTTCTATTGTGAGCAACAAAGTGTCTCTCAGACCTTTCAACAAACATTTCCATGCTGATGTACTTGCTAACAGACCCAAGAGCATTAGTTTTCAATTGAATTGTTCCTATGGAGACTCTTTTTCCTCCTCGCCGAAACCAGCAAGAAAAAGAACTAATTTGTTACCTTCTCCCAGATGCTCTATTTCCAGTAATGCCAGCACTGAATATCAAAATCCAGTTCTAGAGTTCTTCAGAAATCTATCATTTGATTCAATAAAAGCTACTCTTCTGCAGTTGACTCCAATTGATGTTGTGAAGTGGTCTGGGATATTATGCATCATAACTGCAGCAACAAAATGGACTAGGAATATGCTTTTCAGTCCCTTCTTTTGGATGTATTTTAGCTGGACTTGGTTGTTCTGGCCTTGGTTTGTGGCCATAGTGCTTGCAGTTTATGGATTATATTGCTTTCGGAAACATCTGCATGGTGAGGCAAACATATTTGAGCAATTGGCAATTGTTACATCAGTTTTTACCTGGCTCACTCTTGTTCCACCTGGTCATTTCAATGGCTACCTTGAAGGCTGGCCATTTGTTTTCTTCTTTGTGTATCATTATTTCTTTTTCTTCAATGTTAGCGTTCGAAAGCGGTTATATGGTGATTATTTTGCTAGGCCCCATGACCCAAAATGGGATGTGAACTTGCCAATGTGGTCTCGGGTTTTTTTCAGCACAGGAGTCATGGTTGGCCATTGGCTTGCAGCATTAGAAGGGCCGGAGCTTCACCTCATACCAGGTGGGTGGAGCAATCTTGGAATCTGGGCTTTAATCATTACAACTCTGCTAATGCAGTATAATGCCACATTGTATCTTGCTAAGTATTCTGAAAACGTGGTGGAGCCAAGTGCTGTTGTACAATTTGGACCTTATCGTTGGGTCCGTCATCCAATATATTCATCAACAATGCTTTTGTTTGTAACATATTGCATTGCGCTTCGAGCACCTCTGAGTCTGCTATTTGTAGTAGCAGTATGCTTGATGTATTATAAGCAGAAGGCAGAGAAGGAAGAGGCTTTGATGGTTGAGACTTTTGGCCAGAGGTACACAGAATATGCAAGCAAAGTTAAGTTCAAGTTTATTCCTTTTGTCTATTAGCTTGTCTCCAGAAGCTTAGTCAGTCTTCAAAATTTGATTGTATTTTCAGGTTTTGGCAAAAGATAATGTCAATTCTCAAAATCCTAGTCTATGTCGTTGTTTTACTCTTTACTCTGTTATCTTTAGTGTATTTAACTTGCCTTAAATCCTGTGGCATCCTGTGCACTTGTGATTTCCTTTTTGAATGAATATTTAGGTTTTCATTTATGCTTTATTTTCATATAGCTTAGTAGATGGCTTACATAATACTGTGTCCATGATTACTTCAGCCTTTGCAAACTTCGACTCTATAATTCTATCGTCTATCTTGAGCTGTGCCTTAATTGGCGCTAAACTGCTAAATTATACTGCCTAATTTATAGAAGCTAAATTGTTTACCAAATATTTGCTTTCTGCCTGGTGTTTTATTTGAAATGAAATTGAAAGGCCTTCCTCATGCATTTTCCTGTTGCACTTAGACAAAGCAATCAATCATGTTTTACTATTATAAAATACTTGGTCTTCTGATATGGTTGGTGTTTTCATTTTTTTGTTATTGACATGGTAATGTTCTGTGTGTATATATAAAATGAAAGAATATAAAACTAAAATTAAGTTATATTTTTTTAATATATTTAAATTATACTTTTCATTTTATAACAACCAAAAAATATAACTTAATTTTAGTTTTATATTCTTTCATTATATGTATACATGTAACAAAAGATTTACTTACTCCATGTAAGTCTACCAATAACTCATATTTTAAATTTCAATGATATAACCATTAAATTAAATAATTTTAATGCATAGATCATGTTTACAAATTTTTTAAGAATTTGAAAGCATAACCATAAAAATATTTTATACATTGGATTGAATTTATATAACGAATTATTATATAGTTTTTAATTTTTTTAATATTTGTACTTATTTATGCATTAAATTTTTTTTAATTTATAGGTTAGATTGTTAAAATTTGATATAGAATATGAGTTATTGAGTGAAGTAAGTTTATAAAGACTTACTCTTATAATAAGTAGATATTTCCTTTCTCTCTCTATATATAAATTATTAAAATTGATATATTCTATCTATAAATCGATTCTTGTTGATCATATTCTATTTATTATTGGGTCTTGGCCAAGTTGGTTTAAGTTCAAATAAATGATTCTTTAGGTTGAGTAAGTATTATTTCTTGTGTTTAATGGTTGTATTAATATTAAAATTTATGATTTCATATATATTATTCTAACTTTTCATTACTAAATCAACTCTAGTGGTTGTAGGTTGAGTAAGGATTAAAACTCATCGAGTAAACATGTTTGTTTTTATGTCTAGAGGAATTTTGTGATGTTTTTCTTTATTATGTTCCTAAAATTAAATGGTAACGAAATTTATTAGTTGAAATTTCATAGAAATTAAAAAAAAAATGAGACGCTTCATTTAATAAGACTTTCCTATTTTTGTTTTTTGAGACACAATAAATACTACAATGAATTAGTCTGTATAAAATTAGATGAAAAAAAGGTTTAAATATGTTTTTAACCTTTTAAGTATTGAGTTGTGTGATTTTAATAAATTCTCAAATTTTAATTGAGCAACTTTAGTTCTTTAAGTATTATAATCATATCATTTTGACTTTTCAAATTTTAATTGATTAATTTTAGTCTCTCGAGTATCGTAATTGTGTGATTTTTGTCGTTTAAGTATTACACTTATACAATTTTCTTTTACCTATTTAAGTGTTATATATTGTTAATTTTAGTAAATATATATATATATATATA